TGTATTAGTTCCCAGCACTCAGGAGGGTGAGGCAGATGGAATCTAGAAAATTGTTTTTACGTTAGCAGTGTTCTTTGGAAATGTGGTAAGATATTTACTCCGCTGTGTCAGGGAGCAAAGGATCAGACCCATTTCCATCACCATGAAAGAAACAAACAAGTGGAAAAATAACTCCTGCCTTGTATGGTAAATAAGTAACAGTGGGTTCTGTGAGCAGCATGTGCTGTGAATGGCCCTTAAAATACAAAGTAAACTCTCACTGGGACTAGTTAAATAAGTGTTTGGTAGTGTCTGCAGGTACACAGAATTCAGTCCTTACTCTTTTGAAGTGGTTGGAAGGCAAGGTAGCACAGATTTGATAAATCACAGTAATGTATTTTCAGGGTTTTTGTCTTGGCGCACAGAACTGCTGGGGAAGGTGTTTTGCAGAGGGATGAAGGCAAGTGGTGCAAGTGCTTTAAGCACTTAAAGCTGTTGTCTGTTCATTTATCCAAGCATTCGCTTTTGAAAACATGTTGGTCTTCTGTCCTGAAGTTCAAAGCTCAGCTCCTTCTTTTTTCCTATAATGAAATGATGTTTTGTGCATGCAGTGTGAGTTGCTTATATCCTTTTAACATATCTGTGCTGTAATACTTCAGACTGCTTCCGTCAGAACCTGGAAAACATTTTTTCCGGGTGTTAGTTGCATTTTCTGGGATTGTCTTTCAGTCTCCATGTAATAGGTTTACTGCATGACTGAAGGACTTTTTGAAATTCCACGTAGAATGGTTTGTAACACTGAAACGTTGATGGCTCTCGTACCAGACAGCATGATGAAGTCAAATGATTAGCAGTACAGTGCAGTGCAGATCACCAGAGCAGCTCTTTACTGGTTACAGTACTACTGCTTTTAAACTTTCTCCACATCTGCAAATTGCCAAGTGAATGTTTTTGCCAGTGTTATTTTTAATTTTATACACATCAGAATATGAAAGTCTCAGTATAAAAATGGTTGCAGGAGTTGTAGATATATTTAAAGTGTGTGTGTATATATGTATATAGTGTATTCTCTGCATAAAGAGAGACCGAGAGAGAGAATATTAACTGTGATGAAGTCATGAACCCAGGCGCCCGCTATAGGCATCTGCAAACACTGGTTACCCTGGCAACAAGTGGAAAGAGGTTGGAGAGGAAAGCTGGAGTAGGTTGTTGCATTGAATTGTTTTCAGCTTGTTTCTTCCTCACTAAAGCAGGGAGATGTTGAAAGGTATGATGTCCCTCTTTCTATGTGTATGCTGTTTTATTTGTATTTAGACAGTTGTTGGGAAAGGGAAGGCTAAAAAAAAATTACTTGTAATTCAGCTCGCTTGGAGATGAACTTTTGAATGTAATCACAATATGCATTGCAAATCTGTGTTTTTTCTGTGTGCTTAGTTTTTGTGTGTTGTGTTTGTAAGATGAGAGTGCTAGATGGATCTCTGGAGTACAGTACCTGTCCCATCTTCTGTCTGGAGACAAGCAACTGTAGCATATTTTGTCTTCAGAAACTGATTTTATTTTAAACTGGGTTTGCAGAGCTAATGTTTGAAAACCTGCCAGGACAGTACAAGTACTGGCTATTACCAAAACAATTTTTAACTAATATTAAATCTGAGCTTCTGAACACCTTCAGTATGTGCTATGCTTATATTCATGTGCTCTTGCACTTGTGCAGCATATTATGGCTCATGAGTTAGTGGAGTCTTTACCTCTCTGGGGAAAGTTTTTATTAGAAAAACTAGGACATTATGTCCAGGGCTATAATGGCATCTTCCACAAGACAAATATCAAGATATTCTCTTCAGAAATCTGGTTTAGACAAATAACAGGGGATCCTGCTCTGTGTTTCTTCTCGATTATCCTTCTCTATTTTGCCCTTTTCGTCTGTAATGAAAAAAGATAAAATAACTATATGTGACTATATCAAAGTATAAATAGTACAAATTGTTATGTATATATACCTGAAACAATCCATCATTGTAATTTTCAAGAATTTTTAAAACTATCTTGTTCATTAACTTTATTTTTAACCTAGAAATAATGCCACTCCAGTGACTATTTGGGAAAAAAAAATAACTTGTCCAGTCCTACAAGAATGAAGTGTATGACCCAATCAGGAGATAACGTTCAGTCACTGTGTATCTGACACCTCTGGCAGCAAGGGATTGGTTAACAGACAGTGGTTCTTGATCTCTCATGTGGTGAAAGACACAGCCTAATAGAATATTAACAAGTGTGGTTTCCAGAAGTGCAGTGGTAGAAACACACACTTAGTGTGCCAGGCTCCTGCCCTTTCATTTCCATTTACTTCTACATAAGGAGGGCTGCCATGTAGTTGTATTCAAGTCAGATCTAATATTACTACGGTATAAAACTGAATCTTCAAAACTTAACAAAAACAAATATGATATGGAAGACGGAGATGCATATGAGTATGCTGATTGCTCATAACAGATCATAGACTGATAGCAGTCTCGTACCATCTTCCTAGAAATAGGCTGCTCCAAAGAGCTTTTGTCAGTGGGACATAATTTAGTTAAAATAAAACATGGCAAATCAGCTTAAGCAATGATATATCTTATAATTAAACAAAGATTATAATCAGCAGAAGAGGTAGAGTTTTGTCATTAAACAATAATGCAAATCAGAGCTCTTATTCTGAATGGTGAGCTAATAACTCCCTAATGTAATTTAGCAGTTGAGTGTATACAAAACTGTTTTCAGCAGTGTAGATTTGCAGTTTATTTGTATATAGTATTGTATGTGCTAGATTAATTACTCTCTTGTATTCTTGGTTGGTAAGTGGATAGAAATATTCTGTTCGTACTTACCCTACATAGTTAAGACTGATTCTGGAATAGGTTAAAAAGGAGTTGACTTAGCTGTCTTGTAGGGTAATCTTCTGAAATCATCATTTTCATCTTGCTTTTCTTCAAATGTTGATGTAATGTTTCTTCCTGTCTTTTGATCAAGTGTCTTGTAGCCATTTCAGTGTGGGAGTCTTCTGGGTTTAGACTGCAGCTTATTGGCAGAGGCTAGCAGTGTAATGGGATATGTGGATATTGGCTTCAGGCCACGTTAGGGCCGATCCTTCTTCGTACAGTCCCTTGTACTTTGTCAGGCTGTGGTTAAATCCTACGTTATCTGGTGTGGAGGGCAGGCAGATACACACAGCGATCCTTCAGCTGTGCTGTGCTTCTTAAACAGGGAAACAGTGAATTCCAGTTTTCCTAGTCAAGATTCCTGTAATTAAGCACTTTCTTCTGTGTTGTTTTTAAGCTGATTTGGTCTATTAATACATGTAGAGATGCAACTGTTATTTTCCTACTTCCAATGCTGTATTTTGAAGTATCCATAGAGAAATGTGCAAGAGAGTGCCGAGACTGAGAACTACGTTCTTCTGCATTAGACCTTTCCATTTTGTGCTCGATAGTGAGTGGAACATCACAGAACAGAAGCTGCCTGTGATTTGTGCTGTAGTGTGTGACCTTTCCTTTTTGGGAGCTATTGGAGAATTGTCTACAAGCAAACTCATTTATCCTAAGGCTTATATTGGCTATCAGCTACAAGTTTAGATGATGGGTTCTTTTCTTTACCAATGAAAATTAGCAGATAGAAGAACTTACAGCCTGCTTTGGTAAGCCTTTTTCTGTACAAAGTAGTCAAGAACCCTAGAAAATCTAGTTTATTTAAAAAGCTGGATCTTTCAAACTGCATTGATCTAACTTTTACCAAGCTGTTAAGCTGTAATGTTGTCTTAAGCATTTTCTACAAGGGGAGCTCTTGTATAGGAGAATATTACCATGGTAAATTCCAAGTTTTTATCTACAGTGATGAAGATGGAGAAGTGTTTTCAACACTTGAGGGGGTGGCAGTATTTTTCCAATGAGGAAAAGTTGAAATATATATTCCTTTTTAAGACATCACACTGTCAAAATCCTAAATTAATTTAGAGCATAGACATCTAAAGAATTTTAGAGCAAGTTAGACTGTGAATATGTATTGTATCTGCTGGCCTGTAATAGCTGCGTGTGCACACCTTAGCCTATATATAAGGCTACGGATATATAAGAATATAAGGTGATTCAAATCCCTTTGTTTTTGAAGGATATCTTCATTTTTATCTGAGAATAAGATAAACACACTTGGTTGTGTGTCCATAACCTGCTGTTGCAGTCTGCCTTTCCCCGAAAGGGCACCAGTAGCTCTCAGTAGTTCAGTGAAAATCACTTCTGTTATGTACAATGTGCAGCTCAGTGTGTAAGAAAACTGGTTTAACACATTAATATAAAAGCAGAGACAGCTGGAATGTGATAAAGAGGTTGTACACATACATGAATTCTGAGTTACAAGCATCTAAATTTCTGGAATAGCAGAAGGTGGGTATTTTGGACTAACGTATTCATAGAGGTACAGTGGACATACCAGTGAGAAGTGGGCGTTCAGTATAATTTGATATCGGTTTCATAAAAACCAGATTTGGCCCTGTTACTGGACGTTTGCAGTAATTAATCTTACTTAGCAGTAAGCTGCACTGCAGGGTGCCATGTACCTGTGGCTGCAGATCAGAGAGGGACCCATCAGTCACAGCTGGCTCATCATTAAGGGTGATGGATTTTGCTCTGCATTCGTGGCAGGTGTTTCAGCCCTCACATCTCCATAGGAGAATGGTCAGGTGCATGTGTTTCTCTTTCTGTTATCTGCAGATATGCAGGTAACAAAGTGTCATACACAACATTTTTTTCTTACGCCTTTAAAATGACTTTTTTTTTTTAAGGGTTGGAATTGATGAACCTAAGTATGAAAAATTTGGCATTGCCATCTTAGCTTGCCAATATTTTATTTCACTCAGTCGTGCTATGGTGTAGAAATAAGTAAAGGGTTAAAAAATTTCTACCAGTTGGTTAGACAGCAAAAGGATTGAGGCTTTGGAGAGAGATCAGGATGTCTCTTAATCTGTGAATTATATTTCGTTAATAAAGAGGAAGAAGAGCTTGAAGTGCCTTTGGAGGGGCTTGGATTTCAGCAACAGGAGTCACGGCTTTGCCAGCAGATGAAAATGGCTACTGTGGCACCCTCGCCAGAGCCTGTTTGCTGGCAAGTGGAATCGGTGACCAGCACAAATTCGGGACATGTTTGTACCCAAGGTAGGAGCTTTCTGTGCATCAAAGTATTCTGCAAATGGGTGGTTAGCTGCAGATCAGTCTGTGGAGGTGGATCAATTGGATGGCTGTGGCGCGTATTCCTCAGTTTCTCCATCTGCCTTCTAGTCAAGTATTCCAGACTTTAGAGGCATTCCTGGCCATGTCCCAGCTTCCTGGGAAAGTGCCTTGTCGTCCCTTAGTCGTTAGTCTTTTTGGTGCATGACACGCATGCTAAATACCACAGTAGCAAAGCCGAATAAAAACCCCTCCCAGTACCAGGCTATCGTGCTGTACGGTTTGTGCATCCTTTGAAGTGGATTTTTTCTTTTAATTGAAATGTCACACAGGGCAGTATGACAACACTTTGGATTACACTACTGGAATATTTAGCAGAAGGAAACGATTTTTCACAAAGCCTGACTCACTCAGTCTGAATAAACATTGAAAAGCATTACAGCAGTTAATGCTTTTTATCCCTCCTCTGCCCCCTTCCCAAGAGAAGCATGTGTTGGTGTTTTAATTGAAAAGAATGTATAACTTTGTATTTCAGGTGGGCTTAATCTAGATATTCGTGTTTGAGTTATATTATTTTTCCTTATTTGTGAGAGACAGATCATCCTGTGTCTGATTCCTGCAACATTTCTGGTACTCCTCTCTGAAATTATTGGCTACCCGTGGAGATGGGTCAGTGACCTTGATGGAAAGCCATGCCTCATCTGTTGTGGCAGCTCTTACATTCTTGTGTACGGTTGAGAACATGTAATTCAATTTTACATCCCTTAGTAGTTAGTTCTACTGCTGGTTGTTTTTCAGGGTACCATCAAGAAGCTGGCGTTTTATTTTGCTGTGAATAAGTGGCCATGTCAGTTCCAGAAATCTGCAGGAGGTGGATTTGACAAGACTGAATCTAAAGAAATATATACAAACACCTGTCATTATTATCAGTCTGAGATAGATGCTGGTGTTTTCAGTCATACAACTTAAAAAAAAAATAGCTTTGGCTCCATAGGAAGCAGCATTATTAGTAAGAAATCAAGAAATCTTTTAACAGATTCTCAGTTTTTAATGTGAAAGCTTTGTCTTCTGCTGGTTATTGTTGCATATATATTATTTTGTAATGTGATGGTGCCTAAGGAAGTGCCGGATCCCTCTTTGCTTCACAAGATGAGGCCTCTCTGAGCAAGTTTGCGTTGTAAAGACCACAAGCTGAGACACTTGGGAAGGATGTGGAAATGGTGCTAACTAGTGTGGCAGACCATGGCATGAGCACACTGTGGAGGTTTTTATGGCAGGATTTGAAGAGAGTAATGAGGAAATTTTGACAAGTGTTACCATATATTTTTCTTAAACTGCTGAGGAGTTGCTATCTCAGTAATTAGAGAGGCAGCGCTATGGTGGAGGAAATTAAGGCTCATAAGTAAAGCGAAGTAGCTTTGTTTCATTGCAGAATGGAAAGGCAGTTAGAGCATGCAAAGATAAGATGAGTGCATCTGAAACAAGTAGGAAAATGATGCTTGTAGCAGCCTTGTGACTCAGTGCAGATGTGTCAGTGCTACACTGCCACTTGTCGTGCTTGGTCAGACTGAGATTCTGCTGTCCAGTTAAGAGTTTTATTTTTTTTTTAAATTAGTCCTGGTTTCCAGTTGTTGGTATAGAATCTTGAGGCACTTTCTTCTTCTGTTTCTGAGCCTTAATTAAAACAAGGCTTGAAGAAAGTCCTTTTGAGCCAGCCATGTGTCTAACAATGATCTGTTCCCTCCTCTTCGACATCTGAAATCTTAGATAGCTTCCTAACATATTTTTTATTATTTTCTGTTTAGCCTCCAGTTCCAAGCCTGAACTCAGCTCCAGTTCACAGACTTTGGGAAGTCAGCAGAACAAGACAGATGGCACCCGAGTTAAAACTCGCATTCTGCCCAACATGCCAAAGCTTTTCATACCTTCATCTGTCACCAAATTTCCACCTGAGATCACTGTCACTCCACCCACTCCCACCCTCCTTTCTCCAAAGGGCAGCATTTCAGAAGAGACCAAGCAAAAATTAAAGGTAATAAAAGGGAAACAGTAATTTTTTAGATTATTGTTTTTATCTTAATTCTCCCCTCAATAAAATACTTGTATGAAAGGAGCAACAGTTCCTGTCCCCAGTTCATAACCAGAGATAGAACAGGTAGTGGAAGAAGATGCTAGCTACTATCAGCAGGAGCCAGTTTTAAAGAACTGGTGAAATATTGGCCATGGGTGAAATCGTAGCTATCCTAGTCCTTAACCCTTTTCTGAAGGAATTAGGAAGACTTACACAAATGGATGAGGAAGCTATGGCAGCCATTGCAATTCTTAGGTTAGTGGAAGCTACCAAAATATTAACTGTGGGGAAGCCTACTGGTAAATGTTATGTTATTTCCCATTAGAATGCCATCTCCTTTATAGACGTAAGGGAGCGATTGAATGTGAAGGAATAGCAACCAGGTGGCTTTTATCCCTGTGATCACGGGTTTATCCTGACTATTTGGCAATATATTCTCTCTCTCTCTTTTTGGGATCAGTCTGCTATTTTGTCTGCTCAGTCTGCAGCGAATGTAAAGAAGGAGAGCCTTTGTCAGCCAGCTTTGGAAATCTTAGAGACCTCAAGCCAGGAGTCCTCACTGGAAAGTGATACTGATGAAGATGATGACTACATGGACATATGAATGAATTCTGGCCATCATCAGCACCAACCATGTAACCATTCTTCCTGTTGCCAGCATCTCTGGCAGTTGAAACATCTTCGTTGGCATTACTCTCCATTTAATCTGCATCTATGTGTTCTTCACTTTCATTACCTTTGTTATCACCACTACCACTTGTATTGCCTTCAAAATCTTCGCCATTCTCCCCATCATGGTGCTTGACGGAAAGAACGATTGTTTACCAGGCAGTCGATTAATTTGGACCATACTGTCACCTTTAACATCAGCAAATGCAAGGATGTTTTAAGCTGCAATACACATCTCTCTGCTGTTCCTGCTTCTTCAAACCAGAGCCTTGGGAGTCGCTCCAGTAGCTCTTTTCTATAGCATTTTCTTCCTTTTAGTTGTTGTTTTGCATTTTTCCTGCTACTTAAGTTTTTCTCCCAACAATTCACCACCGTAACATCTGTCTAGCCATGCCACGTTTAGTCCAACAGCTCCTTTTAAGTTGAATGGAGTAGGAACAGTTTGCTGAGCTGGTAGAGGTTTTAATTGCATCAAGAAGGTCTGCGGCTCTGTTACAGGGTGAGAAGGCTGAGCTGGCGGCTCCTTGGCACCGCTGGGTGCTTTGTTGGAATTTGACTCAGTGACAATAGGCAAAGAACCGGCTTTTCCAGGCAGACAGGAGGTTGGCCTCCTGTTTGTGCTCATTTCACACCGATGTATGAGGTCCAGCAAAAATTATCTACCTGGATGTTGGCTTACAGAACTGATCTTTCCAGAATTGTCTTACAGTCCTTTCTCTTCTAATGCCTTGGACAAGCATTTTGAAATGGGGGCTAGATGATATTTTTATGGTGGCATTGAAAAAACTTGAAAGATTTCAATGCCATTTCAGTAATGTCTGTTTTTTACAGAATGACACGAAAAGGTGTTTTTTATCTATCTGCAGAGGGACTGCTCACAGTTATTTATATGAGAAAATAATGGTAACTAAAGATCCTTTTTTTTCTACTAAATGTTAACTTTGTAAAATAATGAATGCAAACCATGCAAAAAAATACGTCACACACTATATATACACACACACGTGCACCCACACACATATATATATATGTGTATGTACATATATATATGTATGTATATGAAAAAAGAAAATGCATACAGCTTGCAGTGTCGGATTTCTTTGTGTCTGGGGGAGGTGGTTTTCTGTAAAATGCAGAGCTTTGTATAAACTTTTGGTTTTTTCTAATAAAGTTGAAATGTACTGTTGTCTCTGTTTGTCTGAGAGGGCGACGTGCCATGCTTCTGGAAAAAGTACTGTTCCTCCTTTCCTTTTTGTTTCTTGAATAAGAAGGTAGAGGATGAAGGGAGTGGGGAGAAGCCTCTTCCTTTTCTGAAGACTGCCAGAGCTCTTCAATGGGTTTGGTCTTGCGTGACCCAGAACCCAGACCAACCGGTGTTGTTGCCAAGACTGCCTGCAGTGGCATCGCTTCCCCACTGAGACAAGATCTGAATTCTTTCTCACCTATCTGAGTATCTTTGAATGCTGGTGAGCAACGTAAGAGTGAGACAACACATGGTGAACAGGATTGCATAGAATATTTGGCTGTTGCATTACAGTGACTGCTCTCATTCACCATAAGAATGGTGAATGGACCCTGGATAAAAAGAAACTTGCAATACGAAGTTTTATGCTGCGTATTCTCATATTGTGGGTTGTTTGCTTTGAACAAAATGTAATTTGTAAGCAGGTGAGCATGTCCATCTTGGGTGTATTAGCAACTGTTTGTGCAACTTGTTCATTTACTACAAGTGATAGGTGAGCTGGATGCAGCCCATGTGGAAAAGACCAGGTGGCTGAATGGTAAAAGCAAATGGTTCTTTTCAATAGTAATATTTTCTCAGTGTTTGCTTTATAATTTGATGTAAGTTATTATAAATACAGTGTATAGCATACTGTGTGGTTATTGACTGGTAGTGGGCTAAGGTAGCTTTAGATAACCAGGCATGATTTTTGTTTTTCAGAAGATAGCACAGGAAAAAAGAAATCGGCTTCTTGTGAGAAAGGGAGCACGACTCGTAGGATGATGTTCTACGTAGGGTTCTTTCACCTAAACAGAGCAGACTATATAGACGTTTTGGCTAATGTATATTCTTAAATCTACGGCTAATTTTATGATCACATTTAAATTTTTAGATCTGTGCTTCTAGCATAGGTTTGATGTATGAAGACAGAGCGTTTGATTTTCTTAATTGAATTTGGCCACTGAAAATGGTTGTTTTCCTTTATTATTCTTAAGTATTCTCTGGCTTTAGGCATTTTGCTTTTTGCCTTTTTTTTTTTTCCCAGAGCTTGCTAAAATATCTGATCTTGAGCTTTTTTTTGACTTCCAGTCCAGCTTTTAGAGAAGGATTTAGTTTTTTGCTGGTTAACAAAAGGTAGAACAGTAAATGAAACAGTAGGTAAGAGAGCTGGACTTTGTTCTCAACTCATTTTAATCTTCAAACCACACAACTTTGCAACTTGTTTTATGCTATATTCAAAACTCTTACCCATGTTTCAACCCCCTTTTTTAAAATCTATGATATTTTATTCTCATTATGCTCTTGGGTAGCTCAAGGTCTTTTTCTCAAGAAGTTACTGAGATTGAACTACGCAAGCCACCTTTCTGCTAATGACTAAATAGTGAGTTGCTCAGCTGTGGGCCAGCTTCCACAATGGGTATTACTGCCGCTGTGTGCTAAAGGAGCCATTCTTCCTCTGTATGTGTGAAGTCATCTCTCTGTAAGTACCATCCACGCAGCCCTTCAGTTCAAGGAGCCATATTCTCATGCTGAGGTCACTGGATGCATTTACATACAATGTTTGTCTGAAGCACCATCCCTAAAGGTACTTGGAGCAAGAACTTCAACTCCTTACAAACAGAGGTATTCACTTAACATGGCACAATCTGAAGCCTGGCAATGTAATTTTGTGGAATTTTCAAGAAAAAAAAGAGCATTATGGTAAAACTGCAGTTAGCTATGAGTTTAATTGAAGTAATTTATTTCGGTCTAATCCTGGTTGTAATACCTTGAAATCCAAGTATAAGCAAGGTCCAACTTACCAAGTTGCATTGGAGACATAAACACAACATCTGTATGCAGGATTTACTGGATAACCATTACTTCTCAAATCTCGGTGTTCCCAGGTGTCTTTCTGATGTGCCAGACAAATGGCAGCTACTGAAGTGTGTTGTGTTTGGTTTTTCCCTGTGAAGCTATAAGGGCAGGTATGTCTGATGCCTAAAATAAAGGTAAGTTCTGTGACCGATTAGAGTGAGGGGGAGGCTTTTACTACTACTACTTCCCCCCACCGCTAGTAATTAATTGAAAAGCAAATAATTTTTGGTTACTGAAAAGCTAAACTCTGACTTCCAGGCAGATAGCAAGAACGTTTTTTTTTCCCCAAAGCAAATAGGAAAGGCAATAATTTTGAACTGGATGTTGAGAGTAACTTGTGGATAGTTGATACATTTTCTGTACTGTTATTGGGGTTGTTTTTACACATGGTAAGATGCTTTTCACTGACCACCATTGTTAAGGTCTATAGTACCAGTATTTGGCTGTGTTTAATGTGACTTCATTTCTTGGCACGAGGATTGTATCATCTCTGTATAGCTAAGACCATCAAGAGTTTATCTCTCTAAGACAGGGACTGGTGTTTTACTAAGAATTGATTTTTTTTTTTCAGGCACAGCCTCATTTGTGGCTTCTGCTCACTGTTTGAAAAATGCTGTTCTTCAAAAGCTAATAATGTTTCATTCCACAACCAAAATATCAAATCAAATATCAATTAATCTTCTCTTGTACCGGGGATTTTCAGTTGTTGTCTCTTGGTCGGTTTTTTTTGTTGTGGTTTTGTTGTTGTTTGTTTTTTTTTAACTAGGATGAGATCTCCTCATGAATAATGAAATTAATGTCTTTTGCAGCCAAAATAAACACCATATGGTCAGGGAGAAAGGGACCAGGAAAAGATGAGGAAGGCATGGCAGCCGAAGCTGATTAGGAGGCAAAATGGATGGAATGAAAACAGAGGGGACAGGTGACAATAGACTGAGTCTTACCATCCAGGGCGGGATCACACCATTGTTAAATTCAACTTTCTGCTTTTGGCAGTGGTGGTGATATTGCGATGAAGCTGAAAAATCCATCATCTACACAGCTCGTGCGTACAGCGTTACACGCCAGGCAAAGCTCATTTCTGTTCCTGCAGGTGCTTGTCGTATTCTTCAAGGAAAAAGGTGGCAGGGTAGATGAATTTGGATGCTCAGAAGAAAAAGCAGCAGGCATAAACCTTATGATCTCTTGCTTTGTCATGTGAAGCTGGGATGAAGCAGCTTTATTCTTGCAGTTGAAGATGATGGTATGAACTTCAGTGCAGGTGTTGAGTGTTAATTACCATCTTTCCCTTTCTTCTAGCTGATGACTAGGAATCCGCTAATGCTACGCTTTGAAGCATGCATCAGAATTTTGGGAGTAACCTTGGAGTACTGTACCACAGGCTGTACGAGCCCAAGGTACACATGCCTTTGTGAGAACTTGAGCTGCGAGTCCCACAGGGTTGTTTTAGGGCACAGTCCAACAGGCGGCACTGCGAAGGGTAACAGACCAGCACCTGAGCTTTGCTGGCTGCTTGAGGATGACTTGAATGGTTCTTTCACATTAATACTTAGAGACTCCAGGCAAATCTTAATAGATTTAGAGACGCCTCTCTTTTTGTTCCTGCTGCTGTTTATCTAATGCATGTATGGGGATGACACCCATCAGCCAGCACTTGTTAGGCAGCTCCAGAGACCCCTGTTCCACGGTCTTCAAAGCTGTCTTGGAACTGACTGACCTTGATGCAGCTTTGTTCACAGATATCTTTTGGCCACAGCTGACCCTTAAAAAAAGAGTTGGGGCCTTAGAAACTATACATGGAACACGCGTGTTTGACAACAGCATGCTGCCCCACACTGCCCACAAGCCATCTATACCAAGTACATGAGCTGTTTGCCATGTCTTTAAGAGTTCAATGCTTGCAGATGCTGTGATGCAGGCTCAGATTGCAACCTTGCAATGCTCAGATGCAGCAGCGCAGCAGCTATGGATGTCAAGGGACTTTTTGGTATATGATCTCAAAAATATTTTCTATCCTATGAGTGGATTTATGCCGAATAAAATGTCATGTGTGAATAAGAACAAGGCATGTGGCACATCTGGCTGGAGTGCAACCTCAAGGCTGTGAGTGCATCTCTATACAGCCGTGTGCCCAAAGTTCATCCCGTGTTGTCTGAGAGCTACACTGGCTGCTCTGGTAGCGCTAGAGGGGGCCCTAGGACAGGGAAGAAAAAAGGGGAAAAAAGGAAAAAAATCACGCAACACCAAAGCCTAAAAGAGATGACCAGAATCTCTTTCCACTTCTGAAAGACTAAATTGCATTGCTGTTTCGACCTTGCTTACTTCTAAGGGCCTTCTGCTGCTGTACCATATATCTTTTTTGTAGTATATAATCTGGCTCAAAGCAGAGGGAATGAGAATCCTCCTGTTTACAGGATTGATTCTGTCCCATGTTCCTGGCCATAGCACACACACACAAAAAAAAAAGCCTCACTTTGTTACCATTAATACTGCAACCTAGCAGGAAAACAGATCCACAGTACTTGCTTTTCACACGGAATCTGTTTGCTCCATAACTAAGTTTTCCTTTTCTTTTTTTTATTCCCTTATGACAATTCTGCTGGGTGTTTTCCATTTTCTTCATGTGCAGTATATTATAATAGGGGAGATAAAAAGAGTATCTTTTGACAGTCGGTCTTGTGTAAAAGGGCTCAAATAATGCTCTCAGCTTCATCAGTGTAAATCCTGATTAATTCAGTCTTGGTTCATTGCAGTGGCATGGGGTTTGTACCGCTGTGACTGAGCCCAAGAGTAGGTGATAAAGGTGCAAGTCATGGATTTGTAAAGTATTTTGAGATAGTTTCATTAAAGTAAAATTCTAATTAGGGACAAAAATGTGTATGAAAATGATGGAAGAAATATGTAGGTTTCAAGCTTGGAAAAGCTCTTGTATAACAGTCTCTGTTATCTAAAGTAGCCAGGAGGTACAACTGAGTACTGTAGTCATCTTGCAGAAATGCACATGGAGTGCGACACTGCGGTGGAGCTGAGGCCACGAGCTGACTGCAGAATCAGAAAAACAAGGTCGCTTCTACCAAGGGGAAAAGTAAAATCACACTTC